CCCTTCGGAGAAAGCTAATTTCTGCTGCTTGTATGTTTGATTTCATTCTTTCAGTCACTACCCACAGCTCGTGACCATAGGTGAGGGTGGGGACGTAGATTCCCGTTTACTCTCAGCTCCGTTTTCCCTATGACAGACCAGTACACTGCAGCCACAGCACAAATCTGTTGATCTCCCACTCCCCTCAGCCGTGAACAAGACCCCGAAATACTTAAACGTCTACACTCGTCCCTGACCCGGAGTGGACACGCCACCCTTTTCCGGCTGAGGATATATAATTTATTATAATGCCAAATACCTGTAAAGATCTAAACTCCATTAACATATTTTTCAGTTGTATATTTTCAGAACGTGGCTAATGAAGTGAGTCATATTTTTAAATGATTTTTTTATTTAGCCTTAATTCCACATGGCAGTAGAGAGTAGCACTGGACCCGATGTACAAGAAATGGCTCCTGCAGACATTTGAAACCCTCGACGAGTCCAGTTGATGTCTTACCTACTTCCTTAATGTTTTTGACACCTTTGGGTCCACTGTGGTCACCTTGATAAACGGTTCCCTGCGATCTGGCTCTGTCCGCAGGTACTTTAAACATTGAGTTATTCAACATCTGCTGAAAAAGCCTAACCTGGATCCAACACTACAGACAAGCTAGAGACCCACCGGGTTTTAGAAAGTTAGACTCCACAGAAACAGCTCTCCTTAAAGTCACAAATGACCTTTTGATGGGCGCGAACAGGCCGGGGACAGGGGCTCAGGCCTTGTTCTATTGGGCCTTAGCTCAGCCTTTGATAGCATTGATTATCAGATATTAATCCACTGCTTAAATCTTTTAGTAGGGATATGTGGATCTGTCCTCATTTATGGCTGATTGAACACTTTTGGTTTCAGTGGGAAACTTTCGGTCAGATGGAGCTGAAATTTCATGCGGTGTCCCACAAGGATCTGTTTTAAGCCCCTTGTATTTTTCATTGTATAATCTGCCTTTAGGCCTTCTCATTAGTTGTTTCAAAATTATTTCCTACCATCTGTATGCAGACGATATCCCAAAGTACATCTCCTTTAAACCTTGTGAATTGGACAACTTCCAATCCACTTCCAATGGACTGTCTTAAGGAAATTAATGGTTGGATGACAAACAGTTTTCTGCAGCTGAACGCAGAGTAGACTGGGTGTTTAATTCTCGTTCCAGAGAGTATCATGCCCCAAATCAGGCAACATCTGGGTCCTTTCTCATCCTTGGTAAAGAGTCTTGGGTTAATTCTTGATCAATCTCTGTTTTTTGATGCTCAAGTCTGTGACCCGTTCTTGCTTTTTTCATTTAAGAAATATTGCCAAACTTAAGACTATTGTCTCCAAAGGTGAACTGGGGATGCTTGTTTGTGCCTTCATCTCCTCCCGATTCGATTATTGTGATGCACTCTTTTCCTGTCTGTCAAGGCTTCTTTAAATCACCTTCAAGCGGTCCAAAATGCCACAGCAAGGCTTTTAACCCACAGTCATAAATTCTCTCATATCACTCCCTTGTTAAAGTCCCTGCACTGGCTTCCGGTTTGGTACAGATATCAGTTTAAAATCCTCCTCACACGAGGACAGGCCCCCACTTATATCATTGAGCTTCTGCAGTATGCTATGGATTCTTTTTAAAAATGAACCGCATCAACCTTTGTTACAGGGAAAATTGCTGTCTATTTCTACATTACACTACTGACCGCTTTATTTCTATAAGCAGGTTTTAAACAGCTGGCCAATGATGTCTTTTCACAAAGAATATGTAGTTTTCAGGTATTCACAGCCCTTATGGCATCTAAAGGTCACCTAGCAGGAAAGGTCACTTTCCTGTACTGCATGGCTGTTTGACCGGCCCATATTTCACATATAAAGACATTTTTGAAACGCCTTTTCAAACTCACACACACCCCTAAAAATAACCAAGGCATGGCGTGGACTGATGTGATCTAGAATTTAGGATTTAGGTATATTTTACAAACTTGGGCATAGATTCAAATGAAACCTGGATATTGGAACCGAGCAATGGCTGTAATGTATTCATTCATGCAGATTAATGAGCTCATCGCTTACCTCATCTTCACCCCAGAAACACTAATGCTGCTCTTCAAAAGAGAGTAATTGTAAGATGGAGAACGCAGAAGTATACAAGGACACACACACTCACACACACTATAACACTGAGTGGATTCTCTTGTGTGTAGAGTGGCTACTTGAGGCAGGTAATCAAGCAGGGATTAGGTGGCTGGATGCTCAGACCTCCTCCGTTATTGCCGAATATGCAGACGCACATTGGTTTTGTGTGTGTGTTTAAACATCAAATCACATTTTATGTATTTATTTATACCATTTATGCAGTAAATTGATTAAATAATTTCAGTTTAGTAAAAGAGCAGATTAGTAGGTTAAAATGACAAAGAAGATAATCTAAGAAATGCAAAATTCAAATTAAGTGCTTTTAAATTTTCCACCAGAGTATCACGTGCAGTTATTTTCTTACACCGCTGTTCTCAAGATTGTGTCATTCATCGCTGCCTTCCAAACCATTAAAAGGCTACAAAGTTTTGTTTTTGAAGTATATTTAGGCCCATAAAATCAAGAATTTGAAAACAATAAGGAACATATTTGGTGTGGGTTAAACGCTCTTATAGTCAGGATGGCCTTTAGTGACAACTGAATTAACTTCTTGGGCAAAATTGGTTGATTTGATTAAACCAATATAGCTCAAAATGTAAGGCGTAATCTCCCTTCTCAAGTACTGATTGCTGGGAAATCACACTGAGCTCTCAGCACCCATGAATCTGCAAAATAACCCTAGTAACCATATTTCATTACAGTTTTGTAAGTTCATTAAATACCTTTCTAATTGCAATTTCTTTTGTTGAGCAGAAAATAGATTTTAAAGGAGAATGCAGTTTATTTGCATGGCAATGTAGATTGTAGGAGTTCTATTTATTTTATAAATACTGACATAATTGATTATGCTATTGATCACTTTAGAATAACCAAATGTAACTTTGATGTGACTGAATATGATTTGCGTTACATCTGAGTGCATGACTTGGACTAGTTTTATAAAAGGAAACAAAATACATTCTGTTTTGCTTGATTAATAAATATAATGTCTGGTTTACCTTCTGAAATGGCCTTTTCTTGTCACAGCTTCTCTCCTGCTCAATTATCATATAACAGAGTGTAGTTTTTAAAGCTATTTTCACTTGTTCATTTCTCTTCACCATCTCCTGGTTTTTTCAGTTTGATCAAATATTCAAGATTTAGAAGTTTTTTAACATTTTTGCAGCATATTTCCTCAAATGACTACACTACTGAATACTAATAATAGTAATTATTCTGTTTTGTCATACAGTATCCAATTAAAGCCCATTAAAAATGTAAATGTGTGTAAAGTTCAACTCACACCATTATTTATGTGTTTTGATTATTTTTCACACGTTGCTTTAAGTGTCAGTGGCTGTTTTGTTAGGTTAAGGAAACAAAACTACTTGGTAAAGTTTAAGAAACGATCGGGGTTTGAGTTAAACTCGATATTTTCAAACAAAGTGAAGAATTTACAAACTTTCCCTCCATTTTTTGGCTCACCAGCAACATAAGTGCTGCCTTCAAATATAAATGATACAAAAAAAAATTAAAGGAACATTTTGAAAATACATCAGTTCTCAATGGGAAAAGGTCATGCTGGCTATGTATGCTGTTACAGAATTAAAGACAACCGCGTTGTTTGATTGAGGTGAAAATTATCGACCTACAGAGGGCTGGATCCAACAACGCCCTGAAAATCTGACAAAATTCTGCATCAGGCTAGTTCTTTTTGTCCAACCCCAGGGCACGGTCCTAATGAGATGACGGATGGTATCCTGCAGGATCTCCTTCCAGATCTATACAAATCACTGAGCTCCTGGATAGTCTGAGGTGCAACCTGGAACCATCGGACGGCCTGAAACATAACGTTCCAGGGGCGTTCTACTGATTTATGCCAGCGAGCACGTGGGCCAGTCAGTGGTATCATTTCCATCCTCCAAGAACTGTTGTGCACCGTATAGGGTCTGATAGTGGATTCAAGGATTTCACCCTGATATCTAATGGCAGTCAGGGTGGTGATGCATAGCCTGTAGGTTTCTCTGTTCCTCCATGGATATGACTCCCCAGAACATCAATGACCAACCAGCAAAGTAATAATGCTGAATAATGGTAGAGACAGCAAAATGTTCTCTGTGGCTTTTACTTTTTTTTGGAGGGGGGGAGAGATTTTAATTATTTGTTGCCTGGAAAGAGGCAATAGTAGGAAGGCATAAAGATAAGTTGCAAATATTAGGATTAAGACTTATAAAACAATAAAATTGTTTGTTGCAGCCAGCAGGAAATAAAAATCAAGACATAAAGTTGTCTAAAAATCTGAAATTACTACTGATGCTCCTTATGGAACAACAAAGATTTTAGATGCTAGGAATCATCATAAAAACCTCTGAGGTCTGAGGAATAAATGGTGATGTTGTTTTCTAAAGACCTGATTTGTTATATCAAGCATAAGCTGCTCCAGGTTATACCATGAGGTAGGTCTTTATCTTATAGTGGGTAGCAGATAAATGCTTTACCTTTTCTGTGATAGTAAATTCTACACAGGATTCTCCATCTAACTGGACGTGTGTTCTTTAGTCTTTGTTTCCAATCCAGGTTATTCTTTTTTTTTTTTCCTGCTGTCTGCCAGATACACCGATACCTCTGTCTGTTTTCTGCCTCTCTTATCTCACCTTCATCTTTCTATTGAACTCTTTATGAGACTGCAGTACTCTAAAAATAATGCCTGTTAATCATATGGCTCTGAAGTAAGGAGGCTGTGTGCTGGTTCACTGCAGCTCGCGATGGTAGAAAAGAGCAAAAAGTAGTTGAACCTTCAATAAAAGGCTTGAGATAAAATGAAAAATGTTGTGTGTTAAATAATCAAAGTCTCACATTTTATTTGCTGTTGCAGACAAATTCAACGCCTACGTGACTTTGAAGGTGCAGAATGTGAAAAGCACAACTATCACAGTCCGAGGGGACCGGCCATGTTGGGAACAAGACTTCATGTTGTGAGTACCTCAAACCCTGTTACTGCTTTGCTCTAAATTTCACTTCTCAGTGTATAGTTTTTCTGTTTTATCACTTTTATGTGTTAATTTAAAAAATGCATTTAAATTATTACATTTAATTCAGTTTCCCTGCTTCTTGCAGCATTTTTAAGCAGTAGAAAGCTTAACAATAGCTTAAATATAAAATGACAGTTCATACATCTTTATGTAGAAACTTCATACATCTTTCATCCACTGAAAGATTACGTGTTCTTTTATGGTTTAAATATTGCAACGCGGTGTAGTGCTGTGCTCTGGCGTACAGATTTGCAGTATTCAAATTGAATAATGTGGGGCTGAAGTAATGTCTTCCACCCAGCAGAAACTCATTGAACAGATGGCTTTGCTAGACTTGAGAACAAAATAAAGATTTGGTCAATAAGTGAAAGTCGTCTGTTCATTTGTCTATAAAAGTCTGTTACATCTGATTTAGCTTTTAAAGTAAAGACCGTCTCTTCCTCCTGCACGTCTCTGTAAATTGCCACCAGATTCAAACCCAGAACTTTGTTTCTGTCTGACAACGGATACGGAAAAGCTGCATTTCCGAAATGGGCTGAGCCTGATGTTGATACTTTCAGTATCACCCAAACTAATCCAGATTTTAAAGTTGAAAGAGATCTAAAAGATCTCTCAAAGACAACTTCATCTTGCACTTTTTAACCAAATGTAGGCAGGACCCTCCAACCACACTTTAGATTCCTGCTATTGGAGGCATATTTAGTTTTGGTTTCATTTATAAGACCTATGCTATAACGCATTGCACCGAGGATCAGTCACGTTATTCTGACTCTAGCTTTGGTTTACATGTTCCTCGTTTACTTTTTTGGCTCAGTGTTGTCACTTTTATTGGCAGCAGTACGACACTAAACTCCTGGGATGTATTAAAGCAAATGCAGGGAGAAATTGGAGCTTCAGGAGTATGTGTCAGCCCTTGGATGAATGCAGGCCAGGTATCCAATGCAAGCTGACTTGTTAGCTGGCTTTAATAGGGCTCGCTGAAATTGAAAGAGCACCAGCCGCCTGTGGGACTCCAGTCGGGCACAGGCTACTAAATGGGAATTTGTGTTTGGAGCAGGTAGGATGGATAGAAAGTGAAATGACATGCCCAGCTCAGATAAGTGGACGAGTTGGTGATAAATCTAATGAATTGTCCAGCCAGGTCTGAGTATATGTGAACAGTAGAGGGGGTGCAGCTGCAGCTGAAATAGCTGAAATCCCACTTTACGTTTTTTTATTGTGATTCCTGAAGTGCTGGTTCTTGGTACTCTTTGATTGGTGTGGATGCAAAACCCATTTTTAAACTGTTATGCAGCTGCCATTTCAGTTGTATATGTCTTGAGATCTGTGTCGGCACATTACTTTTTAATTCCTACAGTAAACATTAAATGTGCATGTGCTTACTGTAGGAAGTAATTTGTTACTTTGTGTGCTACTTTCTTTTTTTGTGTATCATGTAACTAGCAGTTATTAATTTTAAACCCTACGTGTGCTGACATACACGCAGGGTTCACAGAATAATAAGGACTTTCTTGGCATTTTTATTCTATTTGCCAGTAACTGCTGTACACTGATACACTGATTGCACTGACTGGGAGAACAGTTAAAATAAATGCATGTTATGAATACATATGGGTCAGGCTAGGATCACCAAGGATGTCTTATACCTCAGTTCTTTGCACAGATATGCTAAGAAGCTCTGTGAGAGTATTTACAGGCTAAACTAACGAACAAACTAATCACCAATCGTCACAAATGGTAAATGGTCTGTATTTGTACAGCGCTTTACTTAGTCCCTAAGGACAGTCATCCACCCATTCACACACACATTCACACACTGGTGGTTCTGCATCCACATCGTGGAGAATAACATAAAAGATCTGAGTGAAAAACTGAAAAATCCGTGTGCATGTAATGCCACTCCAAGCACCTGGTCTTACACAAAACAGCGAACCCCCAAATCCTGAGTGTCAGGTCAGCACTTTGCTTGAGAAAGCGTGAGTGAATGAGGGGTAAATTTTAAAGTGATAGATAAACATGCTTTATAAATGATTCACTAGTACAACAGTGTGAAATAGTATTTTTCTTTACATAACAGTTTAGCATTTGAATGCAGCTTGTAAAGCGCGCACCAGTATCGCACATTAATCTCCCTCCTCTCCCCGTCTGTCTTTGTCAGACACACACACACAGTTGTCAGTCGTGCATTGTGTGCTGTACAAGGGATACTGATCTTTCCTGCAGACTGATCCCTCTAGACTTGATTAGAGAATGGAGTGGAGAGATTGACTGTGAATCGACATTATTATATAACAGTCTCCTCGCCTCACTCTTTACCTGTTACTCTGTGCTCTTTCACATCCATTTAGACCGTTATCCTCACTTCTCTCACCTTTCTCTCTTGGGAGAATTAGTTTTCCAGAGTCAGTATGAAGATTTTTTTTTTAGTTAAGTAAAATATTAAGTTTTATGACCTTACCCAAAAAGTTGACTCTGTTCATCTGGATGTAAGAGGTCACCTGGATGAGTGACAGACGTTTCTCCCACTGAAAACGCTGCGATCAGATGAACAGAATCATCCTTCTGGGATTTCCTTACCTGGATGATTGAGCGTGCATCGAGATATTATGACCTTAATTGTTGAAAAAAGAACCACACAGCCCCCTATGCTGTAGCTAAATGGCTAATTAACTCCTGAGTCTCATTAGCAGCAGTTATGCTCAGTGGGGCGCAGAAGCAGTGCGCTGCCTTTGAGCCACGTTCGAGGTATCAAGAAGGAATTTCAAGGTTTCAGTGAGACGGTCATATCTGTCATAGGACCTCCTGAAATGTGTTTTTATTAATGGATGAAATCACAACATACCAAAGCAAGGAACTAACACAAATGATAATATTTTTTAAATAATAAGCATTCACTACATGGGCTTGGCTTCAAGTCATGGGGGGCCTCTGCACTCAGGTTTAAACTGGTGACTCTAGATATTGTTCGAGGTGTTGCTGTGATAGAGATCTGCAGCTGTTCTCGACCCACAGTATATAACACAGTAAATCCAATAATAAAAAACTAAAGAGAAGCTGAAAATTACGTTTTTGTTTTTCATCCTCTCTAAAAACACGTACTCCTCACAGCTAGCATGCATCTTCTTCTTTTTGTACTGAAATGACATTTTCCAGTGTGATGCATTGTAAATATCAACTGTATTACAAGCAGGACTCACTCTAAATATGGCTGCGTTGCTCAGGAACAGTGAAGAAGTCACCTCCTCACAGCTGGATAGTGACTGTGCCGAGACCCTGCCAGATGTGCAGTCTGACTCTTAGGCCTCACTGGGAGCACCAGGCACATCTGTGGCTTTAGATTCTTATATTGTTTCTTCTCAAGATTCTTAAAACGGATGATTACAGACAGAAGTTACCGTGCGTTCAGATACAAACAGGGATGGCAGATGTCTAAGCTTACACAATGTTTGTGTGCTCACGTTTACTGTGTGTGTGTTAGTGAAGATAGGAATTGGCATGCCTATGTCACACTGGGCATCTGTGTTGATCGGGAGTAGATTTCATAGTGGTGGGATAACCAGCTTCACTGTGGCGTGCTGGTATCTTGGCTCGGATGAAGCTCGGATCAAAGAAAAAAGTCAGAGATGAGTTTGGACTGATACTAGCTTGCACTCAACCGTCATGCCAAACCTTTCACTCCTGCCCAAAATTAAAAATAAAGCTGAGAACAGTAACTGCCTTGCCAGCTGCACTTAGGCCATCCTTTCAAACTCGATCTCTCACCTGCTGATTGCATTCGCTTTCTCTGTCTGACACTCTGCAACCTTCTGAAATCCTGATTTCTGATTTTTGAAAGCCATAAGATATCTGTTTAGGCTGGGGGGGGTCCGCTTACTTTGAAAGTAAACAGTCAGTATTTTTCCATGTTTCAACTGTTGGAAGTATTTTGTGTGTCAATCAATGGTCTTTAAGTTGCATCCAGGTTACACTGTAGATATGGATGTAGCCACCTTGATGTCATCTATTCTTGTAACATAGTTTCAAGGCCTCCAGTTGAGCATTTTGGTCACTACCGTTAATTTAACCCTTTGT